ATGTGGGGGGGGTTTGGGGGGGGGGGGGGGGGGGGGGGGGGGGGGATCCATAAGCTAAGGCATTCAGGAAAGTGACAGAATTGTAACATAACAGAGGTAAAAGATACAAAGAATGATGAATTATGTAGCTTGATCTCTTTAGCAACCTTATCTCTGTTGCACTTATGTCCATGGCTTAACTGCGAAATATTGTTTGTTTTCATTCATGTACAGAAGCACTTATCAGAAGTGGGGAGAGGAACAATATATTTTTGGTTGAAAAAACAGCATAATAATCAAAAGCAAAGGATAGAAGTGGATAGACTTGAAAATATTGGACTAGGGTAATATCAGTGCAATAGCAATTGCTCTGTATTTGTTTTCTTTTAAAAGTAGCTGCACAGATTAAATCCTGCCCCTAAAATCCCAGCCATACCCTGGAAACATGATCAGCTGGTTGAAGTACCAGATTTTTAGTATTTTTAAAGCACATTTATATTTCTATTTAGGCAGCTTTGAAAATGACAACTAATTAAGTCAGTTTCATTTTTTATGTGACTATAGCTGCATTTTCAACTTCACTACCATGTTTTTGGACTAGCAGTAAACAAAATGGTCATTAAAAACTATTAGAAACAGCTTACAGGAAACGCATGAAACTACCCCCCTCCCCCCCTCCACTTTTAAAGAAGGATATGTTTTGGGACAAATTAGATTTTACAGTGTCCCACAATTTGGTGACCAATAATAAGGGGTGCCTAGAAACAAACACAGGTATTGGTTCCAATTAGGGTAGTGATTTTCAACCAGGGTGCTGTGGGGTGCCACACAACATTAGCAATGTTAGATGTGCAAACATGATTTACAAGATAAATGAGAATTCTGAATTTAGGAATCTATAATGTTAAAAGCATTCTGACTCATTGTGATCTTTCTGAATTCTTGGCAACAGAAGAGCTGCTCTAGTATTTTTCAAAGAGAGTTAAAACTAAAAGCTGACATTTTTCAAGGGGTGCCTTGGGTCCAAAAAAGGTTGAGAACCACTGGGATCCTGAGAGGGAAACTGAATATCCACTGCTTGAACACCAGACAAAACCTCTTCACTGAGTTAAAAACAAGCGGTCATAGCCCCAGATGTCTTGGAAAAAGGCTGCATCCCTCTACCACTGCATTGCTATTAAACAGCCAAAAGACTGTGCACTAGAAGTTCCAGATGCCAGAAGCTGGACAGCTCATAAGTAAGCACACTCCTGGCCAAAAGTTTGATTTATGATGCTAGGTCAAGAAAAAGACCCTTGCAACGAATGAGGTTAAAGAAAAGGGGGGCACATTTCCCCCATAAACCAGCAAAGTTATTTAATTTTAATGCTTCTAAATTCACACACAGTCACAAGGTTTGCAGACTGTACATTGATATTTTTAAAGCTTCCTGAAGACAGTTCTGTGTTTGTTCACTATTTAATTTTTGTTTCATTCTGTTTTAAAGTGGAACAGTAAGCACTTAAACCAAACACACTTATTCCCCTCTCCCCTTACCAGAAGTTATATTCTATTTTAGAGACACCAGACAGCAGAGGTCATTACTTTATTTTTGTAGGACAGCATCTGATGAAGTAAGCCCTCTGCTTATGAAAACTTGTTATACATATCCAATGTAGTTAGATTTGCACCTTTATAGACTATCTGGCCTTCTGCCTAGTCCTAATAGGTGACAACTATTGAAATACTCCTAAAAATCTTTAGAGCCCAGTTTATTGTTACTACACACAGTTTTCATACCATTGTTTAAGAACTTTATTATAATCACTAGCAAACTGCCCATCAAGAATAACGAGAGTGGGGGCGGGGGCGTGGGGATGGAGTGCCATCACCCTGCAGCACTGCCTCCCAGGAGTGGGGGAGGGTGGGGGGAGCTTACCCTGCCCTCCCCTCCATCAGCACCCCGTGCACCCCCCAGCCCTGTTCCTCAGAGCTGGCGGACCACTGACATGATGGTGGGGATGGAGCAGGGGGGCGAGGCCAGTGCTGCTTGCCTCAGCCCTCCACTCCATCCCCTTCGTCCCCACTGTCATGGCGGCACTCCGCACTCCGATTGGTTGTTTCACTAACCAATCAAAGTGCCTCCAAGAGCATTACAGACAGACAGATGGATTAAGCCCTTTATTGTATAAAACTGTTCATTGCCATGGTATCTTGTATGATGTGATGACATCAAACAGGGGGGTTTCAAAGTGGCAGCTGGAGAGATTTCAACTCCAGGCAATAAGCACACAACAGGTACAGCCTGGCTCTAGAAACTTTTTCTGCTTTCAGGAAAAATATTCCCCAAAAGGAGAAGGAAAATAAATAAATGGTGGTGGATATTAGGGCTGTACGAAGCTTCAGTCACAGATTCAATTCGGCAGAGATCTGGCCCAATTTGGTGGCCAAATTTCCAAATCGAATCAGAGGACCCTTTAATCTCTCCAAATTGATACGGAATCAGAAAGATTTGGAGATCTGAACATAGACACAGCTTTAAATGTTTTTTCTACATACCTCTAGGTAGCAGGCGGTTCATGAGTACCGCGATGCTGGGGTGCATGGAGTGTCCCACAGAAGCGCAGGGGGCTCCCCAGCAGACTTGGCAGCAGACCAAGAAGTGGACCAGAAGCACTTCTGGTCCACTTACGGGTTTGCTGGGGAGTGCACCGGGAGCCCCCACCCCCAAGCTCAGCAACTGGTGCCTCCTGGGTCTGGGGTGGGGAGGGGAGGCACCCAGGGTCCCCCCATGGCCAAATGCCGAGCCAGGAGGGTGTGGGGGGAGGGGGCACCCAGGCATGCTCCCCAGCGAACCTGGAAGTGGACCGGAAATACCTCTGGTCCAAATCTGGGTTCACTGCTGAGCACGTGGAGGGCCCCTCCGCGCTCTTGTGGGATGCTCCATCCACCCCAGCATTGCAGCATTCATGCACTGTGCTAGTACCTCGAGGTACACAGAAAAAACATTTAAAGTTGTGTCTATAGCCGAATCACTGATTCTCTGAATCAGCATTGAATCTCCAGATTCAGACTAATCAAATCAGGGACAGTGATCCAAATCAACAAACTGAATCACTGTCCCTGATTCAGGCCGAATCCGAATTGAATAGGGCTCGCTTCGCACACCCCTAGTGGACATGTTGAAAGGTGGGGCATTTCACCACTTGCTGTTGGATGGGTGCTCAACCCCCGGCCTGTGGAGCAGATGCAGCCCCTGGAGCCATGTCATCTGGTCCACAGGATTCCTCACAGATCTCATGGGGAGCCCTGCAGGCCACAGACTTGCACGCTAGATTGGGCACATGTGGTGGACCAGGACCCAATCCTGGCATGTGGAGACATCTTGGAACCTAGTCCAGCTTGCAGACCAGACCTGTACCACTCACTTAGCCCACCGGGTTAAAACTCTGAGCACCAAACTTTGGCCACCAAGGATACTTAAACACTTAACTTTCATTCCACTAGTAGAGACTGCAAGAAAAGGCTTCAGGGCCAAATACACAAAGGTATTTAAAGCCTTTAACTCTCATTTATTTCCTAGTGAGATCAACAGGAACTAGATGCATAAATACCTGTGCAGATCTCAGTCTTGGGATATTAAGAAACTGAAGGACAGTAATTCACTTTTCACATGCATTTAATCCTTGCCCTTGCTGAGTTATTCAAAGTTAAGCATTTCACTGCCGAGTTAAGAGTTCCAGGGGCTCCCTTCTATTAAGTTAAAAAAGTGGTAGTGCTGACTGACCAAAGGCATTTTAAATTACAACTCCACCTAGTTCTGCCTTGACCAGTGTTGGGTATCTAACAGTAAAAATGCCAGCACTCCGTTAGTACTTATGCTACAGCAATGGTAGAAGATGTTTAAGAAGCTTAACAGTTGTGACAACTCTGAGGCAACCAGCATGAAGGTTAATTGGCATAATCATTTGCATGCTGTAGAAATTCATCCCACAGAATCTGAGAGGAATCTACCTCCATATTTCACGCAGGCTACAAAATAAGATAATGACTTTTGGTTATTAAGGTTTGGAGCTTGATTCAAACCAGAGACAAAAGTTTAAGTGACAGGTGCAATTTTTTCTTGTAAACAGGCTACTACAAGAAAAATAAGTTGATTGTCAGTCCTGACCGTTCCTAATAATGACTTTGTGCTCAACACCCAAACTTTCAACTATCTGATTAAAACTCTTAAATCTGAATGCAGAAGGACAGCACATGTGTTCTGCAGAGAAGGGGAATACATAGGATTTACCAAATCAAATTAAGATATTTTACATCTCTGAACTAATTAATTTGTAAGGGGCCATTCTGCCCTGCCTTATGCCTTGCATCATAAATAATGTCACATTTCTGGGAATGTATGCAACACCATTCATTCCAGAAGCCTATATGAGAAGCCTGTGGAATCCACAGCTATGTAAAATCATATCCAAGCCAGTTCATTTGCATAATCAGCAAAATTCACTTTTTTTTAAACCAAATTTCCCATTATGTAAAACAGAACCTTTTTTTTCCTACCTTTGACACTGCTTACCTTAACACCTGCTACCTAGAATCCTAGTGATACAATAAAAATGCAGAAGGGGGCCTAGCTACAAATACTATACACTTAGCTACCAATCTAGTGATAAGCTAGGTAACACAATATGGTCCTGAACTTATACTTCACTGCCTCTTCTCTACTTCAGCTAATAATGGTATCATACAGTCCAATACATGCACTTCAATCACTGCTATGTGGAATTACTTAAATGCAAACTTCTAAATCCTAATTACTACAGAACAGTATAAAGTTATACAGCAGGGAAGCTTCAATGGACCTAACACTCTATATTTTGTTTTTTTCCCTGCACACTTTACCTTAGAAGGCACAAACAAATGTTTCTGATTGATCATACAACC